CACATACACATACACATACACATACACATACACATACACATACACATACACATACACATACACATACACATACACATACACATACACATACACATACACATACACGTGCATGTACAAGTACGAGTGTGTGTGGTCATTCGTGTGCACTGCGCAAGTGCGTACTGGTCTGTTCGTCTGTGGTTTTTTTATAGGGTTTTTGGGTTCAGTTCTGTTCTGTTTTGTGGTGGTTGGATGAGCGTGATGGTCTGTAGCACTACTGTCAACTTCAATATAACGGTTTATTTCTATGAAGGGTCTTTCTTATTAGATCGCACATGTTTCACATGCTTCCCCAATGCCTTGCCCTGTACGTCTCTCCAACTGTTAAATTGTCTATAGTATAACCTATGAATGGTCTTTCTTATTAGATCGCACATGTTTCACATGCTGCCCCAATGCCTTGCCCTGTACGTTTCTCCAACTGTTTCATTGTCCATAGTATAACCTATGAATGGTCTCTCTTATTAGATAGCACATACTTCCCCAATGCCTTGCCCTGTACGTCTCTCCAACTGTTTAATTGTCCATAGTATAACCTATGAATGGTCTTTCTTATTAGATCGCACATGCTTCCCCAATGCCTTGCGCTGTATATTTCTCCAACTGTTTCATTGTCCATAGTATAACCTATGAATAGTCTTTCTTATTAGATCGCACATGCTTCCCCAATGTCTTGATCTGTACGCTTCTCCAACTGTTTCCTTGTCCATAGTATAACCTATGAATGGTCTGATCCTATATCATGTGATGACTAACTACGCCACCTGATCCTCTATCATGTGATGACAAATATATTTGGCGAATCTACCCTAAACCCTACACCATCTTATCGCCAGCCCTACGTTTGTCACGTGCAGTCCACGAGTGGCTGCTATTTCTGTTTTTTGTTTCTGGTTGTGTTTCTGTTTTTGTTTCGGTTTTTTGTTTCTGTTTTCTGTTTTAGGGATTTGGGTTTTGGTTTTTTAAGGGTTCAGGGTTTAGGGTTTTACCCTATATAAAGTAGTGCCTCGTCTGTGTGCTTGTTACTGATCTCATGACTTTCCATTCGCACAGGTCTGTCGCTTTGAGCGTATGTGCGCGTTCGATCAAAAGCTGAAGGATTTGGGGTATCGGTTTATTAACAATCACTTTCATCCTGATGAGAGCGATCCGGTTGACCGTGAGGTGGAGCTAGCCCCATGGTTTACAACCAGGAACTACGTCGATGCAATTTACAGTAGGTGACTGTTGCTTCAGTCTATGATGTGTTTGCGTATTGAGATGCAATCTACAGTAGGTGACTGTTGTTTCAGTCTGTGATGTGTTTGTGTGTTGAGATGCAATCTAGAGTAGGTGACTGTTGTTTCAGTCTGTGATGTGTTTGTGTGTTGCGATGCAATCTACAGTAGGGGACTGTTGCTTCAGTCTGTGATGTGTTTGTGTATTGAGATGCAATGTGTTTGTGTGTTGAGATGCAATGTGTTTGTGTGTTGAGATGCAATCTACAGTAAGTGACTGTTGCTTCAGTCTATGATGTGTTTGTGTGTTGAGATGCAATCTACAGTAAGTGACTGTTGCTTCAGTCTATGATGTGTTTGTGTGTTGAGATGCAATCTACAGTAGGTGACTGTTGCTTCAGTCTGTGATATGTCTGTGTGTTCAGGGTTATAGGGTTTTTGGTTTTTAGTGTTTGGGTGGCGTTTTTATTTTGTTTTATTGTTTTATAATCATCATCCTTGGGCGGTGGATGCGTTTGTCATAGGGTTTAGGGTTTTGACTATCGCAGAGTTTCACTCAAACATACAGTCTTGCGATCTCCGCCACCTGTTGTACTGTAGCGGCCCTCTCAGTTCATGTGAACGACCTTTGGGGTTTGTTCAAAACCCTAAAGTGGATTTTGTTTATTTTCTGGCTCGATGTGTTGGTGCATAGACAGCAGGTGCCAGTTGGCCGTGTGTGGCTTTGGTGATCCCACTGGCTGTGGTCAGGGCTATTTATATATTTTCTGACTTAATGTGCTGGTGCATAGACAGGTGCCAGTTGGCCGTATGTGGCTTTGGTGATCCCACTGGCTGTGGTCAGGGCTATTTATATATTTTCTGACTTAATGTGCTGGTGCATAGACAGGTGCCAGTTGGCCGTGTGTGGCTTTGGTGATCCCACTGGCTGTGGTCAGGGCTAT